CCTTAGCCATATATTTTGTTGCATGTTATTTGGTAACATTTGAAATCCCAAGATATTAAAAATAGATAGAATAGATTCTGTGTCTATGACTCTGTAGTATTAATATTAATGTTTCAAAAATAGATTCTGGAAAAATGTGACCTACATATGGCAGTAGAGTGGAGATTGGCCAGCTTCTCAAGTCTGTCTTAGAACTGGGCTTTGGCCTGTTGGGGAAAAGGACAAGAGACCTATCTTAGGGAATAGGAACAGCCCATCTTCCTACTTTGCTGAGGAGCATTTGATGAGACCTGATAAACAGATGAGCTGTGGGGAGTGTAAAGCCTTTTTATATTCCAATTATCCAATTTGGCATTTCTTCATGTTAATCATTCCTAAATGATAATTGATAATTTGGCAAGATACAGCTGAAGGGCTCTTGAAACCTCCTGAATGCCAATACATAGACAATTGAGAGTATTCACTGATGCTGACAGTTATTAAGATTAATTAGTAAAGCTTCTCTTCATAAATGTGAGTGGGTCACCTGTTTTAGAGACCGAGATACACGTGACATTATTGATTAGGTTTTCTTTTTATTTTAGTTCATGTTATCCAGTGAAACTTAAAAGGCAGAGCTTTAAAAAAAAAAAAAAAAAAGGCTGAGTTTTAAGACAGTTGGGATTTCCCTTCTGTCTAAGGGATCTGGGATCTGTTGCCTTACAGATTTAATGAAACCAAAGGCAGCGGCTTTGAAAATAAACCTCACTTTCTTCTCTGGATACTCTCTATGTGGAACAGTTTCATTGCTTTGTATTTGCCTTTCCTGGCATATTTTCCTTTATCTTTTCATAACAGCAAACAGAACTATTGTGATTTTTTTTTATTCACACAAGTTCCTATAGAAAATGGATTCAAAGTTTAGGAACGCCATTAGAAAACACTATAAACAAGTTCAATAAATAAATGACAAAGCAAAGAAGTATCTGCTGCCCTGAAAAGGAGCTAGTTTCCGTGATAATCAAAGAGCACATATAATCCAAAAGAAAAATCTTATAAGAGAATGGCCACAATATATCAACAGAATGATCACAGGGAGGGAAATAAAATGTTCAGCCTCATTCAAAATTTAGTAAATGAAAATTAAGAGAAATTAAATGTTTTTTTAGTGTATCTGATTAGCAAAACACAAAGTTTTACTAGTAAAGTATCTCGTGTCAGTAAGTGTAGTAGTTGGGAATATGTACTGGTGTGTGTGTAAATATGGACAACTTATTTGGAAGACAGTTTGGTAACCCTATTAAATTTTAAATGTACATAACTTTTGGGCCTATCATTTTACTTCTAGAAATTTATTCTATGCATATTTATTGCAATAATTTTTAGAGTAATAAAAATGGAATTAACCCAAAGATTCACCAATATATGACTAATTAAGTTATATGTAGACATACAGTAAAATACTCTGAAGTTAAATGCTGCAACTCTGCTTGGGTTTATATGGAAATATATCCAAGGGTAAATATTTTTCTTTTCTAACATTAAAAACACAGTTGTACAACACACATCTGTGTTTTATATATGTATATACATATCTATGTGTGGATATATATGGATATTCAGTTATATATGTATACTTATAAAACATCTGAAAGGACAAAGGTGAACAATTATTAGTTCCAGCTTCTAGGGACTGAGACTTGAGTTGAGAAAAGTAAAATGAGAATTGCCATTTTCAATGTTTTTTTACATGAGCAAATATATTTTATTAGAGAGAGACAGATAGAGAGGAGAGGAGAGAGGAGGGGAAGAGAGAAGAGAAGGAAAGGGTAGGGATGAAAAATGGAAAGAAGGAAAGGAATGAAGAAGGCAGAGAGCCAGGGAGGAAGAAAGAAAGCCTTCGGAAGTAGTGTGCCTATCCATCTAATGTAGTTTAGTGCCTTCTTCCCTTGAGTGCATATACTACGTCATTCTTGACCTTGGGTAAGGAGCAGCACAGCTTTGTTTTCCCTTGTTCACTCAGTGTGCTGGCAACCCCTCCACTCTTTCTAAGACCAATGGAAAGAGTTAAGTCAGAAAATCTAGGGGGATGGGCTGGTTAAGGAAACATCAAAAAGAATCATATTCTCAAATCCCATGTAAAGGATGTGTTGTAAAAAATTATGAGACCAGGCAATATGTTTTATGTTTACATTTTATAATAGCTGAACTGAAAGCAAAAATATATTTCTTATTAAGAGTTGGTGAATGGCAAAATAGCCTAAGTTTATCCCCAATCCTTAGCCATAACCAGATACTCTAGTACTCTTATAATAGGGCTACTGAAACTTTCCTACTTTTGTACCTTTACCGTGAGTACCATCTATTACAGTTAGGTTTGTTTATTTGTCCTTCATCATGCTCCTGGGCACCCCAAAATTCTGCTCCCTTCTCTCTGGGCCCTATTCTCTGTGATGGAACCCAGCTCACACAACAGCTCATTCAATAGCTAAAGGTTGTCTGTCATGCTCACTGGGGAAACAGTGGCTCCACTCTATTCTTTATTCCTCTGTACTTTTAAGATGCTTCATATGGAGCCAAAGCACGTGTCCTAAGTTCTTCAGCTTTTCAAATTGTGGCAAAAATGAGAACTCCAAATACCTTTCATTTAAAATAAATGATTGCTCTCTCTCTCTCTCCTACATTTCCCCCTCACAATACTTGCCTTACTCTACCAGTCTTTGCTTGTGTGCTTACAATATACGAAGCATTGTAGGAGGTACAAGATAAATATGACCTACCTGTACACTTGAAGAACTTAAGAGTTTTACAAATGCGTTAATAACTAGTGTTTGCTAAGTGGTATTCTAAACCCTTTACAAAAACAAAACTGATTTAATTCTTATAACAACCCTATGAAGTGGGTAGCATTATTGTTACTCCCATTCATCGAAAAGTTAACTGAAGCTTGAAGAGATCAAGGGATAGTCTCAAGGTCAGACTGCTGATAAGTGGCAGACCCAAGAAGTCTTCCTGCACCCATGCCTCAACCACTGTGCTCTCTTGCCTCTCAGCGTGCAAAGAGCTGCATCCTAAAGCAGCAAGTGTTAAATGCCCTTCAGTGATGCAAAGTGCAATAGGAATTCAGACAGAGAATGTATCTGGAGGAGTATTCATAAGGGTACAAGGCCGAGGTATTTTAAGAAAGATTTTGACAGATGTAATGCAGGCAATGATGGCAAGTGATGTAGCTGAAAACTTTCAACATCCAGAAATTTAATGAACAGCATGCAGGCTAATTGAAATTTTTTTTAATTAAATTGTTTATCCTGTCTTAAGCAAAATTTCAGCTGCAAATATAAACTAGGATTACATGTGAACTAGGGTTAATTTTTTAGGAAATATGACCATTAGAATCATAAGGAGAAATTATGTATTTTCACTACTTACCTTTATTCAAATCTTCTTAATAAGGTAATAATGAAGATAAACTATAGAATAATATGATAGATGGGACATTATGCATACATTATACATATGTATAATATAGATATACAGTATACCTATATAAATGATATAGGTTAGATATAGATATAAATATAGATATAGATATGATATGAATAAAGATATTGATATAAATACAGATATATTACATATATTTCATCAGTTTATTGCCTTCATTTTCCAGGTGGGAAAGCCCACTTAGAAAATGTCAGTGTCCTGCTTAAACTTCTATAGTGAACTAAGTGGCACAGCTTTTATCTGAGCTCAGAATTCCCACTTGTAGTCTGCAGCTCTTTGCTCAGCATGGTCACTACCTTAGTTTGATTTATTTTTCTTATTTCATTTAATTTAGCCCCAGAGACACTCAAATCAGAAAAAGGTTTTCTGTGCACCTGAGCAAGGAACCAAAGCAGGATCTTAGGGCATCAGGCTCATTTGATGCAAAATCTTTAGTCCTTTATTCCCTCATTTTCCCCCTTGAGAACATTTTTCCACTATGTCCTGAAGGGTAATTAAGGAAATATCAAGATATTTGAGGACACACTCAATGGATGCCCAATGCCCAGACTTTCCATTTTTAACCATGCAACAAATCTGGTTGACCTTCACTAAAATGTCATTTTAACTTTTTTCATTAGGATTTGGTAATGGGTATAAAGAAAGAAACTGAAACACAACAGGGCTGTTCATTCTGCACAGAAAATGTAGATAAGTCCATTTTGAGAGTGGTTCCATGAATAAACGCTCATGCTACATTTCCAGTAGGGTTTGTATTGTTGTCTATTTGAGACTTTGCTCATAGCACTTAGCAAGAGGTCTAATTGGTGTACACAGTGGTATGGCGGTCCGGGGAGGCCTGTGCTCCCAAACCAAATTTATATTCTCAGGAACATACTAATTAGTAACTTTCTGGAAAATACAATAGTTATTCTTAGCTTGTTACTTTGCAAATTATTGGGGATCCAGAGGAACCAGCCATATAGTTTGTGCTTCGAGGAATATTGCTTTATGCTTTCCCCAATGAGTACATTCTTATGAAAAGGCACCTCTGACAGGTATGGGCAGTGAGAATTTACCAAATCCTGTGAAAAGTGGGGTGAGACACTACTATGCCTCTGACCAATCAGCTACCTGCTGCCCAACCACTGACTGCCAACAATTGCCACAGGCTGAGGTTGCTCTGTAAGTCTGGCTTGATCCTGAGAAGCTAGGGCCAGGACATCTCACTTGAGAGTCTGGTGCCCTGCAAACATGTTGTTTAGAACCAATCAGCAATCAGCTAGGCTGAAACAGAATAATGAAGGATACCACCTCAGCAAAGAGAACGTTGATTGTAAGGACCTGCTGAGGTGAAGAAGTGATGGGACAATCTATAGATGGTACAGAAGGGCTATTTGGTGCTTTGCATAATTCTAAATGTGCATCTTCCATTTCCATCACATGTTTAAATTTATATAAAGTGGGTGATTGGTCTGCTTTAATAAGAGTGTATCCAACCATTGGGTTGTAGAAATTTCAAAGATTTTATTTTTTGACAGGATGCCTGCCGTTTTTCTCTCTTGAGTCCCGCTTGTTTTATTCATTTTGGGGTAGTTGCCAATTAGACCAAATTGGTAAGTATAATTAATGGACAACATGAATTTCCTCTTAAACCCAGCTAGTTACTTCTTTTTATTTATCATCTCAAAATACCATGTAAGATAGAGAGGCAGGAATGAGCATTTACTGAGGTCCTAGTATGATCCAGGCACATCACTTGGCATTTTTATATATACTGTCTCTTTTAATACAAAAACATTCAGGCAGGAATTCTCTTCTTAGACTGACATGATTCTAAAACCCTTTCTCTTTTCACTCTACATAAGAAAGCATTATCTCACTTAAAAAGACACTCCCCTAAAACTCTGTTACCTTGGAGGTCTTAAAGGTTATTATTTTACTCAATAACTATTTGAACACAAACTATGCCAGACACGTTTTGAGCATCTGTTTAGGTGAAATGAATCATAGGCAGAACTTTGGGCAGAGGACATTGCCTCAGTGTCAAGATGGTGGAGGAATTCACAGGAACTGCATGAGCAGGAGATAGTACAGGGTGATGGCATGGAGAGTGGGGATGGATGCAAACAGAGGAGCTCCTGATCGTGTGCCCATGGCTACAGTCTTTCTTCATGTGACTCGTGGACTTCCCTTTGTCATCCTATGCCTGAGAATATATGAAGGAGGCTGGGAAGGCAAAGGGACGTTCAATTGTCATCACTGGCATCTTTTTTGATCATTGCACCATCATCCAACACATTGGGGTAACCATGACATGAAATTTTTCATCATTGAGCCCATAACTGTTCCATGAGATAACAACTCTGTAAGATAATAGTCACTGCAGAACTTCATTCAGGAAGTCCTGAAAGTAGGAAGCAGCGGATTTATATTCTCAAAGACTGAAAGCCCTGGGTTCAAATCACATGACTTGACAAGGAAGTTAAATTTCCTCTGGGAAGGTTACATGTATATCGGGAACATAACATTGCCTTCTGTGGTTGCTCTAACCTCTTTGGCCCAGTCACACAGACTTTCTACTGCTGGCAGACTCGAATCGCATAAAAGACCATCCAAAAATACAAATACCAAATTCATAATCAGTTAATGTAGTGACTTGCCATTTTTTGGATATTCTCAGCTCAATGATCTTCCTTTTTCAAGTATTTCCCTCTAAAGAATAGGTTGTGTGAAGAAGCCAGCACAGTTTTGGCATCTGTTCTCTCTTCATCTTTGCTGGACACAGTTGGCTAGGTCACTGAAAAGTTCGTCACGCTTGTTAATGAAAAGTCACTGTGTCAATCAAGACAACAATGGAGTCAAAAGACTAATGTTGAGAGAATGGAACAAATTTGAGTGGAACCTATTTCTTGGTGTTTGCCTGTCTTGTTTATCTGACTCATTTTCCAGTTCAAACTAGGAGTTCTCTCTTTTTGAGAAAAGAGCCTCTCCTACATTAGAAATATTTGCTCAGGGACTGGAACAGTTTCTGTAAACAAATGAGTGTGACAGGGGAAATGTCCACAGTTTTTATAAGGCTTTGGATTCTTCCACAACAAGGAAGAATGCTGGGATCTCCTTTCAGATCAGAAAGATCTGAGTTGCAATTGTTTGACTGGCGTATGGTCTCAAAGTCAGCAAAGTTTTCTTTGATGGTTGGATCTAATAGGTTCCTTTCATGACAACATAAGCCTTCTTGCTTGGACCCAATATCTTCCTGTTTTACTATCAAAAGACTGTCCATATCTTTATTATTTCTTGTTTTTCTAGCTTCTCCTCCTTGGCAGTCTCCTTTAAATGACATAATCTGTCAGATATGTTTTTGTCCTGTCTTGGCATTTGGTGAAATTCCAATGCCTCCCTTATTCTACTTATTGGCAAAACTTACACTTCATGTCTCAGTTCAGAATCTTCTCTTCTATGAAAACACACACACACACACACACACACACACACACACACACACACACCATGATCTTTTAGGCTCCGTTATTCACATCCTCCATACTCTCACAGTACTCTCTGTAAACCTCTGTTGTAGCACTGGCTCTTTTTGGTAGAATGGTTATCTGTCTACCTGCCTGCACTGGCCCCATCATGTGTAGATTGTGAGCTCCTTGTGAGCAGAAGCTGGGTCTTCCTCGTATTTGTCATCCTGTAAACGGAGCACAGTGCCTGGCACATGCAGGTAGGTGTTCAATAAATGTTTAGAGTAAAACTTCAACATTTCGCTCTCTGGCCTTATTTTTAGCTATGGTTTCTATCCTACAATAGATAAGCTTAGGTATTAAAAGCCATAAAGGAAGGGCAAATAATAAAGCAATAATACCTAGAAAGACTCAGGGAGGATAAATGGATAGGGACATGTCCAGGAAAGGACCATCGCCCATGCTTCTGTCGTTTGCATGAAAGCGTTCACTCTGGGAAGCTGCACTGTGCTCCTGTTCCTGTTGCTAAATCACTTCTGCCTTATGAATTTAGAGATACTAAGAATATATTTTCTGTAGCTGCCAATGCTAGCATGGCTTCATTATTTCCATTTATGCAGAAAAAGAAATACCTGTAGATTTTGCCCTCATTCTTTAAAGTGATAATTGTCCATGGCTGCTTTTCAGAATAGATTAGGGTCAACCCATTTCGTAGAAATGCATGCTAACTTCAGAAACTTAGACAAACATAATGAGAAAACTTGTGCTAACGGAGTACTTTTCTGCCATAATCAACAGTTTTACAGTGGGATATACTTAGAGAAGAAAAGGTATCTCATTCTCTAAGGGTCTTATAAAAAAGTGGGCTGAGATTTTAATTTGCTTGAATGGACGAGGCCAGGGAATTTAATCAGAGGACCCTTGAAAACCCCTTCCTAGAATTGAAAATATTTTCCCTATCCCTTCAAAAAAATTATTTGGAGCATTTCAAGCCATTGGAACTAATGGATGTAAGGGTGAAGTATAATTCATATGGGCTTGCACGGTGACTAGGAATAGTGCTCCCACAATGCCTCTAATAGAGTTGTCAGACATTTTAACAGAATAAAAATCTTTAAACCTTGAACCATTAGCTAAAGATCATTAACCCCCAAGAAAAGTGATAATAAAGATGTTATGCCTTATTTTTTTTTTTTTTTTTACCAAATTAGCAACAGCTGATATATTTTTTTCTGTTTTGGCATCCATTAGTGAAATGAATAAGCAGCTATTCCCCTCACTGAGCAGGCGGTCCCTGTTCTGCAAGGCTAGGTTTCAAAAGCTGCGTGGAATTCCACCTGCTACCAACCCGCAGGCGAACACTCAGATTTCAGGCCAAGGAGTTCATGGTTCTTGGTGGCTAATGAGCCTTGGCGTCTCTGTGTCCAAGCGGGGTTCTGTGGACAGTTCCTGCTGGAATGAGGCCGGGGGAGGAAGGGGTGAGAGACAGGTGCACCTTTGCTAAACAAGGGGTGAGGATGGAGGAGTCAGCTTTTCTAGTATCAAACAGATCTGAGCTGAACCTTCCTCATTAGCAGCATTTCTTCCATTCACAGGCAGTGAGCACTGACTTGGGTGCACATCACAACTTCCTGTGAAATCTGGGGGAGGTCCCGAAGGAAGCGGCAATTAAACTTGGCATGGCTCTGCCTCGGGAGTGTGTGCAGGGCCGGGGCGGGAGAGGCGGGGGGAGAGGACAAAAAACTCGCTGCCCCTGGTATATGCACTTAGGTTCTGCTTTCCTGGCATGTATGGAGCAGGATTTGTTTCATTCTCTTTATTTATTCGGCTTTATTATTCTAGAAATAAGAATCATTGTAGTGAGTATATATTATTGTTCATAAATTTGGGTATTTAGGAAATGCCACATAGTAAATTTTTTCCTTAATTCAGATAAACCTAAGTCTAAGCCTCCTTTTATCTAGTTTTGGTAAACTCAATCTTAATTTTTATTAGATATATATTTCTCTCCACCCTCCAGGTCTCTCTCCCTCTTTTCCTCCTCTTCTTACCTCCCACCTTCTCTCTTCTTTTCCTCTCACTCCTCTCTCTGTCCCCTTCCTCTCTCTCTCCCCACATTCAGTCTCTCTCCTCTCCTCCCTCTCCCTTACCCTGCCCCTCTCATGTTTACAGTATTTCTGGAAAATTGGGAAAGGGCCTCTTAACTTCCCTCAGCCAAGGTTACCGCTGATACAGTGCCTGCCAAGCCTGCTTGGCCGCTAGGGCAGAGGGCCCTGGTGCTCCCGCCCTGAGCAAAGCCGGTGGGATTTCTCTATACCTGGTGTCACCAGTGCTCAGGGTGCAGCAGCCTCAGGTCTGGCACCCCAAGGTGTACTTCACAGCAGTCCCCCTCAGACCAGGTGCCTTTGCTAATCACATCCGCATGGAGCTACATTTGGGTAGAAAAGGCAGAAAATAAACAAAATATTATATAGAGCGTATTCAGCAGTGATAAGTGACAGGGAGAGAGGTATTGCAGTGAAGGCAGTGCGGGGAAGGAGTTGCGATTTCAGGGGAGTGGTGGGAAGGCCTCACTGAAAAGGGGGTGTCTGAGGAAAGACTTGGAGGAAGTGAGAGAACCACCTGTGGGGTAATTTGGGAAGAACATACCTAGACCGTTTCTAGATGAGGGGACCACAATGAAAGGTGCTGAGGTGGAAACGTAGGCAACATATCTGAAGAGCCTCAGGAGGCCTGTGGGGCCATACAGAATGAGCAAGAACGAGAGAAAGAAATGGCCAAATGCCACTGGCAGGTCAAATAAGAAGAGACCCAGGAACTGACCATGTTGTTAGTCCCTTCTCCCAGTTCCAGGTTGGGCAGTTTTCTCCTTTTCTCCCCATCAACATACTTGACTCGCTCTTCTCCCCCTTCCAGACATCAGTGGCTTAGGAGTTTAACAAGTTATTGAGGAAGCCTCTCTTCAGGTCAGCAATTCAGGCCTCCCAGGAGAAATGACAGCCTGCTGAGCCCTTTTTGAATGAGGAGATAGAAAGAGCAATGGAAAGCAAAATAGAAACTAATTATTAACTCCAAAAATGATCTTGCTACACAGAAAAAATATTCTTTACTTTTTGGCATAGTAGTAAGTAGAGAATGTATTAAAT